AGGTAGGTCCGGTGTATTTCAGATCGTTTTCTAACTCTTGAGAGCTATGAGAGCGTCTGTTTACATCACATGAATCCCACTCACAATGAGACCACACTGGAATGAGTTGCCCTTTTGGGACCATGAGTTACCCCAAGTTTTAAGCATCTGACATTGGTAACGGAACCTTTTTGTGTACTAGTCTTAGTCTGCTGATAATGTTTCTGCCCTTCTGTCCTTGCCAGGTGAGTTGGCCAGGAGAAAAACTTAAGCATTAGTGTATCTTATTAGACATCAGAGATTCAAAGTGAAGTGACACATTGCAAATGCCTCAAGCCCAGGGTAAGCTTCAGTCAGAGCTTCGACATCTGAAAGCTCAGCTGTAGACAGTGAAGCCCACAGAAATGGTGGTTCCTCTATTTCTACTTAGAAATGGCTTGGAGTTTTGCCATTTCTACCTTGTTCAGTTAACAGTTCTTATGGTTTACAAGTCATATACAAGAAAGCAGCTTATGCAAAGCGCTAGTGAAAATAACAGTGCTATCCATACTGTGTGCTTGATTCTTCAACGGTGGTGGACAGTTGCACCTGGAAGATGGCAGCCTCAGTTATTCCTCTTTTAGAAGACAGATTTACCATTTCAGATACCCACTGCAGGAACAGATACAGTAGGGGTTAAGGTTGTTACAGTTTCACTGTTTGCATTGAATTTCTCTTGTTTGCTTGTTGTTGTTGTTTCTTCATTTTAAGCTGAATTCAGTTTTCATATTTATGAATGCATTCAGCTGAATACATTGATCTAAATATGTTTATTGAGAAGATATAAGCAGCAATGAATGATTGCATGTGCTGCCTGTAAAATGTGTGACTATGCATACAGCCATAATGCACACGGAGAATAAATGTGTCACCACCAGGTTATATATAAGATCATTCATTTATCCACCTCTGTATTCCCATGAGTCCCATGGTCTAGTCATAGGCATAAACTGTAGCTTAAAGCTGTTTTCTACACAAATAATGTATCATCGCTAATTGATGCATGACATTAATGTCATCACAGGGAGAGTAACGAACGCAGCAGTTAAAGCTACATTCCTTAAAAAAGTTACAAAAATTAGATCTAAATGAGAAAATGCTGATGACTGAAATATTCTCAGGGAAGGGAGTCTTCTTCATTAAACTGTTCTTTGGAAGATAAAACTTGTTCCTCATCCAATAAATCAGCTGTGGATTTCCTTGTACCATGAAGCGTTTTTTGTGATCATCACGTTTTCATATCCATCACAAAATCATTGAACCTACACCCTGCAATATGGATTGGGGTGAGTCTGGAAATACGGCCCTCCCAGGACTAGTGATAAGATAGCCAATTGTGTCAGACTTATTTCCAGATTTTTGTTTCTGCAAACTTATACTCCCAAAATATTATTTATCTAAAAGATTAAAATTTATTAATTATCTGCAAAAGCTACCATTTCTGTATTTTTGCAGTATACCTAGTGAATCTTTCAGTGAAAAGTAATTCCACTTTCTACACATGTATCTATTTCCCCCCAAATGTGCGGAGCGATTAGAACAGAATATAGGCTAACCCAGTGCCAGGTCTGAATTTCATCGCTAGGAAGTATTTTGACCACTACAGGTTCAAAGTACAATCCTTGTGAACATTGATTTGGTATGATATGTTCAATAGCTGTTTGAACATCCTTATATTGTAAAGGGATACATTCATAGCTGTGTGGTGTCTGTTTTCATATGGTATGAAAATAAGCTTCACTCAGTGGAGCACAGTTCTTTCATAGCAGTTGAGAAACCAACTAACTGGAATTTTACAATGAAACTTTTAGTCCTAACTAGTGTTTCTGTAAAAAGCTGTAGCGGCTTTATCTTGAGTGCTGAATTTGATGACTGTCTCTTGAGATCTTAAGGTGTGGAGAAAGAAGATAACAGAGCCTTCATCTTTTCTTTAAGTGCAGTGCTTGCCACTCAGATGAAAGCATTTGTCAGGCTACCATAAAGATTTAAAGAGAATTAAAATTGATAAGCTGAACGATTTAGCAAATGTTAGTCTGTATCTTCACAGAAACTAAATCTTTAGGTGCAAAGGAAGGTCTGAGCCTCTTAAACCGGAGTTCAGATTAGAGCTCATTGCTCTATGGGTCTGGGGACCTTCATCTCACATTCAGGGATAACCTGCCCATCTTTACAGATCTGTGTGGAGCGTGAGCCAGCCTCCCTCTCCATCCGCTAGGGAGGGGAGCAGGCTCACAGTCCGCGCTCTGTTACTCCTCTGTATGACGCAGTATTTGGCCTGCCCTGACCATCCAGCAGGCCTATGTTGCAACCTTTGTGGTGGTTTTTTTTTTTTTTTTCTTCCCCAGTGTTTGCTTTCGCTGTGAGGCCTAAAAGATGACCTGTCATAATATTATTCCATCTAAGTGGCTTTACTTTCTGGGAAGTTTCTCAAAAAACAAATTTTTACTGTGACTGAAAATTATTTGCAGTGAAAACTATTACTCTACATCCTGAGATGACAAAGAAATGAGTTCGTGTCCTCTCTTCTTTTTCTTTTCTTTTTTTTTTTAATAGCAAACATGCTGTCATTTGTTTGCAGACAGTGTTCGAATAGCTGAGTGGCTATTTAGAGGTGTTTTATTTTTGTGGCTACAATATCAACTGAGTTCATTATAACTGGGTTGGACTTCTTAACGTTCGACCTTTCCCAGACGAAACCTTTTTTAACACTTGTCAGTTTGGAGGCCTGGCAGGCCAGACAGCGACCTTTATTCTGCTGCTGTCTTAGGCAGTGTTTATCACTCTGACAGAACCTAATTAAATTGAGAAAAATAATCAGTGAGTGATGTCAGTGAGAAATGGAGAACCAGAGTAAGAGCTTTTACTGGCCACAGTACATCTATAACTAGCTGCAGCTCTTCCCTTTTCTTCACTGATGGAGGGAATGTTATTCTGCCAGCCATTATTCATTCTCAATGAGCAGAGATAATCTTTCTTAATCCCTTGGAGGGGTTTCTTTGCAATATGTTCATTCTGAACTTTAAATCACTATTTACTTAGGGCCAGATTCTGTCATGCTTCTTCCTTCCAAATAGTAGCTTCCTCTGTTAAAAATGCCATAGTGAGTAAGGAAAAGAATGAAGAGAAGCAGGCTTTATGCTGGATCTTTAACTGATGAATCCAACTATGTGAATTTTCACCTGAAGTTATTTTTCTCCATGAACAATGACTTAAACTTTGTATTTTATTGTCAAATCCTTCCACTTATCTAGAAGAGCACAAAGGCCTGTGGTCCATTTTTTGAAAAACTGGAGAAGGAGAAAAGCCTGCAAACTGTGCAGTTTTGTTTGTGTTCTTTTTCACAGGTTTAGCTCCTACCATTGAAACTAGGAGTTTTACGGCCATCCCCATGCCACTAACATCAAATATGTATATATGATCAGTTAAACAAAACACTACCGTCCTTTCCTTTGGTATTTTAATAATCCTTAAACTGCAGCAAAGTCAGTACTATCCAGATAACCAAATTTAGATAGACTTATCCCTTAAGGTCAGAATAGTTCTTACATTAGCTTATGCCAGACCATTAACACAAGGAAGAAGTTCTCTGCACTTTGCATCTCTGTTTACCTGTTAAGGTCTCTTCTTCAACATAGTGAAGAAGCTCTGGTGCATTACCTGTTTCTCACTTTCTGAAATTCTTGGTGAATCTCCACCCCTCTTGTTTCAATCCTGGCTTATTTTTATGTTACCTGTTTGGGAGATTAAGATTTGCTGGTTCTTACCAGTGTCTCTATTTGTATCTTCAAAGGTAGGTTTATTATGTCACAGAATTTTCAGGTCCAGCTTAATATTTTCAAACTGACCAAGGCTGACATTCAATAATTTTCTTTACTTGGCTTGTTATGTAATATTTCTGTTCTCATAAACCATCTCAGAAAGATTGTAAATGATAGTGTTCCCCTGCAACTTCCTTAAGAACAGCAGTAATATCAGCTATCCTAGTTCAACTGTGGGACCTTTTTGTGCTGAATATACATCATGCAGGCAGTTAAGCTATAACCACCATATAGAGGACACAAGGAAGCAAGGATCTTTTAATGTCTCAGTTCTTTATAGAATCACTTTGACAATAAAAAATATTATTTAATCAATTCTGCGGTAAAAAACATGGATAGCTTCAACAAGGAGGTGCAATAGAATATCAGCTTCAGTCATTTGAATCTATGAAGACACTGAAACTGGATAGAGAACAACTCCCTGGTATCTCTTAAATGCAAACACTGAAACTGGATATCTAAGAACAACTCCCTGGTATCTCTTAAATGGTTAGTTCATAGAGTAAAGGCGCTTATATGTAAAATTAGATTATTTTAACTACACATTTCATTCCATTTGTCGTACAAGATGGATTCTTTAGTTATAGTGTTAGATTTTTATAAACTTTACGTTTCCTATTGTTGATGCCTTTTCTTTCTTTATATATATGCCACAATTATATTCACAATTACAAATCCTAATATCACATACTTGATAATACAGTTGCATGTACGTAAGGTTCTTAAGCTTCTCATATTTGATTTTATTCTGTTTTTTTTCAATGTATTTTCTGTTTTTTCTACTAATATGTTAGAGAGATGCTGGATTGCTTACTACTGATATACAGGAGCTATGTTGCTGAAGATTCTTTTTCAGTACAATAAGATAACTCTTCTTCACTTTGAAGAAGCCTGTTAATTGAAGGAGAGTTATGTATTCAGGCAGCTGTGTTCTTGGGTTTGCCTAATTACATCCTATGCAAAGCATGTCTTGTCAAGAAACCTAACGCAGTGTCCATTAAGAGCTCAGAAATTTCTGAGATAATAGTAGTGAAGTCTGGGAAAGAGACAAGAACAAGGGGGACAGAGGGGTTTTGACTTGGTGTTGGTTATTTCAATGCATTTTGAACAGGAAACCCTTTTCCATGTTAATAATCTAACCCTTTCATATGTTATTGATTTTAGTTGATGAAGGAGTTTCCTCTGCTCAGCATGTTCAACATCCATGAAAACCTGCTAGAGGCTTTGTTGGAACTGCAGGCGTATGCAGATGTCCAGGCAGTCTTAGCAAAGTATGATGGTAAGTTCATGTATATTCATATTTTCTCTATGTGGTACACACAGAAGCAATGTCTCTAAGTCAAATTCTTAAAATTTAGGAAACACAGTAGTTGAGGTGATTAGCATGAGCTTCATAGATCCCCTTACACAGTCGTTAATCCAAAGATTAAACATTGTGCATTTTTTCTGCCAACCCATGCTTAATTCATTGTACAAGGTAATGGAACTCACTTCCTAGCAGTTCTTCAGTGCTTTCTTTGCGTTCTGTTGGTGTTTGAGGAATGACCGTTTAGATTCTGCAGACTTTTTATTGCATGATATTCAAACCTTGTCTGAAGAAAGTATTATCAGTTCCCTTGTGGACTTTTCTATGAATATTGACTTAGTAGCATACAGTTGCTTTACAAACATTAATTGATTTAACTTCACAGCAGTCTAGTGAGAGCAGCCTTCATGTCTTAGAAAAACTTGTAAAGCTCAAACTAGGTGAAGTTTTCACATTAATTTTCAGTATTTTTCAGTAAGCATTAGTTTATGCAGCATTACATCACTTTTTATGTTCAAATCACAGCTCTTGCTGACTTGAGCTCTAGCCCTTTGAATTTGAACTAAAGACACCAGGGTATCAAACAGAGAAAGGACAGAGTAAGAAGCGCCAACTGGCATACTTTGTTTAGATTAAGTTAAATGGGTTTTCCTTGTATTGTGTAGAAACTTTGTGACAGAAACAAGAATGCAACCCAGTTCTCTTGAGCAGCATTCATGAACCTTCACAGTGCCACACTTCATCCTCTTTCTGCAGTCCCTGGCTTACTCACTGTCATGGTTTGAGCCCAGCCAGCAACTAGGACCACACAGCCACTCGCTCACTCTCCCCTCGGCGGGATGGGGGAGAGAATCAGAAGAGTAAAAGTGAGAAAACTCATGGGTTGAGATAAAGGCAGTTTAATAAGTAAAGGAAAAGCCACATGCACAAGCAAAGCAAAACGAAGAATTCATTCATTACTTCCCATTGGCAGCCATCTCCAGGAAAGCAGGGCTCCATCATGTTTAACGGTTACTTGGGAAGACAAGTGCCAGAACTCTGACTGTCCCTCCCTTCCTTCTTCTTCCTCCAGCTTTATATACTGTGCATCATATGGCATACAATATTTCTTTGATCAGTTGGGGTCTGCTGTCCCAACTGTGCCTCCTCCTGACTTTTTGTGGACTCACAGCCTACTCGCTGGCAGGGCAGTATGAGCAGTAGAAAAGGCCTTGACTGCTTAGCAACAACCCAAAACATCAGTGTTTTACCAACACTATTTTCATCCCAAACCCAAAACATAGCAGCTAGTAACCAGCTAGCTACTAGCCGCTACAAACAGCTGCTAGTAAGAAAGTCAGCTTTATCCTAGCTGAAACCATGACACTCACTATCCACATTCCAAGTTCTGCAACAAGTGAATCAGGAATCCTACAGCCATTAGTTTCATGTTGTGTTACTACACAGTCCTCCTTCATTCTGAGAAAAGTCTCATTCTGTGCATTTGAGTATGGCGGGGGAGTTTATGAAGGGAATATTATGTAATCATAACTAAAAATGAGATCATAATGCACATGAATCAAACATCTGAATTAAGTGAAACAGCCTTAATTTTGATATTTCTTAACTCTTTCTCTAGATTGATCTGGTAGCCTTTAAATATTCTTTGTTATTAGCTCTTACAGCTTTTATGGTGTTTTTTGAACACGGATTTTAAGGCTTGTAACGTCCAGAGTTTGTGAAAAGGTAGATGGATGTCATTTGAGGTAGAGTTGTATAAATGGCTACCTATATGGGCTCTGGAGCCTATATCCACAGTCCTGTGGCCACTCTTGCATTCTTTGAAGGACTTAGCATCTTTTCTGGCCTGCCCTTAGTTGATCTTTCATCCCATTTGTCTACTGAATTGTCCTCTACTTTTCTTTTGCATGGTCAGTTTCAGCCTTTATTTCCCCCAGTTCCTACCAGAGGCTCCTGATTCAGTCAGTACTGCCCAATTCCATCCTTCTGCCTCTCCTAACTACTCATCCCAATCTTCTCTTCAAGGTAGTCATGGTCATGGTACATCTCCTCACCCACTTTCCAACTCCTATCTTACCAGACATCTTTTCCATCTACCCTTTTCTCTGTGGCATCTGCCTCGTCTTCATTTGACATTGTCTGCTGCATTGCCTGGATGCCAAAAAGCAGAACAGTAAGAGCCCACGCAAACAGAGGCTTCTTGCTGTCCGCCCCAATACTTGGTCCCATGTCATCACATGGGGATGATGCAAGGGGATGATGCATAAGTTTATTAAAGTATTGAGATGTGTGTACTTGATAAGCAAAGAAGCTTTGGAGACTATAACCAAAAAAAAAAAAAAAAAAGGCAGAAGCTTCCACTGAATACGTGCTAACTGCTTTCTTCTAACATCTTATAAGTTAGGAAATTAAGATAAATTTGAATGAGGCTAGCAATAGACCATTGGCTTGATCCTAACATGACCATACTGCCAAATTTCAGAACTCTGCAGTAGACTGGCGGAGCTGAGGTTATTTAGCAAAAGATAGGTAATCAGCTGATTACAGGCAACATTAGTGATAATCACCGCTACCAGTCCAGTCTGCAATGGCAGCTCTTTCTGGAGTCAACTCATGTCACCCAGGCCCTTGAGTAGTGCCATCCAGTAGCAGTAATGACTCTTGGAGAGATCTTGATTGTGCTCAGTCTGGTTGAAGAAATCTGCAGTTAAAGTGGTAACATCATAGTCTTTCTTGTAGCTCCTTGTATTTCAATAATTTCTGTGCCACAGGTGTGGATCCCCATGGACTTTATTTTGGCACTGTAAGAAACAAGTAAATAGAAAGGCCCATTTTTATGGCCCAGGCTCCACAGGACATCGGCTCCTTCTGATCTTTAATGTAGTTATGAGATAATAGCCCGGGGTGATAGCAGAACTGTGACAGAACAGGGAATTAAGCCGTGCCCTCCCAAATCTCAGACTAAACTGTGCTAGCTCTGCTTTTGCATACTATAGCACTGATGCCTGGTGTTAAACAATATCATGGTGGCACTTCGTGTCATGGCAGTTGATAAAACTTGAAGGTGCATTTTGTTTTCTCAAAAGCATTTGATAGAGTCAAAACTGAGATTGTAAATGTAACAAATGAGGCTTTTCAAAATAAAACTCTTCTTACTTCTTCTGTTTGAACCCATGCAGTTTGAACTCATGCTTTGCCATATATAAATGAAGGTGTGTGTGTACACTAGGTATGCACAAGGACTCAGCAAACACAGGCTTAATCAGTATAACCCTTACAGTTCATGAGTCTCAGAAGGCCCATCTCAGGGACTCTCAGCTCATTTTAGAACTCATCAGCTTCATGTGTTGTAAGATTTATTGGAATATAAAACAATGAACTCATTTATACTTTCCTATCTGCAGTTTCTGTTGGTCCCACTCCACTGCCTTTTTTTGACTAACACCAAACCTGATTTATTGTATTTTGATAACATATGAACAAATTATTTCCTTGAGCAGCCTGCCCCCACCCTGGGCTAAAAAGTTGGATCACATTATGCAAAACCTCAGTCTCTGCAAGCAGACACACTGCTTTACCAAAAGGCATGTGTTAAATTGTGTTTATATTATGTACCTGGCAACAGAGCCGGTGTCCATACTCATTATTCATGGAAAAAGGGCCTCATTAGTGGGACAGCATGCACTGTTGCTGAGCTACATCATTATGGTTTCAGAGTTCAGTGTCTGTCAATAAAGTGCAGATGACGTAAATACTGTTGAATTCTGAAAAGATTTTTGGCTCTGATTTAACACATATCCTTGTTATTTACAACATAAATAGTTATGGCTACTAAAGAGACTGTTCTTGGTGGAATAAGCTTCTGGTATTCATAGTAGATAAAGTTTCTCTGCTCCTCTTTCCTTGATTTTTAAGCAGATTGTTTTCCAGTGTAGTAGTTCTGCTTGTTTTGATGCTTAGAGCAAATGATTTATTAACTTCCCTGGGCAGTCAGTTGCTTTGATTGTTATTATCTGGTAACCTGGCACTGTGTGAAAACTCAGACCTTTCTGGCAACTGGAAGTCAGATTTAAAAAGAATGGATGCCTATGTATTTAGTCATAGTGATGCAGTGGTTCCTCCCTAAACCTGTCCTTGCTTTCCTTTTTTTAAATGACAGTGTTTTCCGGTGAGACTATAAACTTTCTGGTTTGCAGGAGGAGCACCTTATAGAGATTCCCCTTTCACTTACCCCCTTGTAAAGAAGAAAGACTGTGTCACCACGTAGACAGAGTCCCAAATTCAGATTTCACTTGAGAAGATACTTTAGACCAGAGGATACATAGAAGGAAAGTGGGTTTTAAATACAGAAGGTCTCATTCTGCTCTAGTCTATGACACTTTTTTATTTGGTAATGGCTGACTTTAAAGAATCCTACTTTAAATTAGTGTCAAATCAAAATGCAGGCCTTTGAAGAAATACTTTAGAAACAGTCATCTTTGTCTTGGAATACTTTCAGCTTAGTGAAATCCAAACAGTCAATTAGTTCTCTAAAATGTAGCCTATTCAGGGCAACTCTCTTTTCTCCAGTCCCCCTCTGTCCAATTTCTTCTTGTCCTTACAGACTTATGAAATGGGTAAATTCTATGTACATTGAACTTGAAGGCATTCCTTTTGTAGAGAGTTGCAGATTGATGTAACAATTGCATGGAATCTTCAGTTATATTAGCTATGGTCTCCAGAGGTTTCGCGTAAATGTATGTATTTGAGATCACAGCTCCACTTCATCAGTGTCATTACTTGCCATGGTTATGTTTGCTATTTTTGAGATGTTTTACCTGGTGGAGCTAAGTGGGTAGTGCAAGAAGTGGTTTTCTTCTGAGTTAAAGATGTAGCAAGTGGCAGTATGGAAGCAACCATTACCTCATGCATACTATTTTATAATCCTTTTGTTCCTTTGAAAGAGAGACCTTAAGAGAAAGTTCCTTTTGGTT